CTTACTTGAGGACACAAATTATAGAATTGTTAATAAATATTAATCTGAAAATTAAATACAAATGATCCTAAGTGTCCGTTCTAGTGAGTGAAGTAGTTTGGTTATTGTGCCTGACCTAGTTCCGTCGTAAATCCAATATATTGGCAGACTAACAGTATGGTTAAAATTGAGGTACTTTGGCATTTATTTAAATTATTCTTCTGTTCTCATGAGCATTGAAATTTATTTCACTCACTAGCGGGAACCATTGCGAATACATTGATATATAATAATATTCAATTATGTTAGTTTCTTCGATGATTTGTGTCCTCATCTGAAGCTCTGTTACAAGGTAAAAATATACATACTAAATCGCCCCCTTAAGAGTTATAAAAAAATGTGAAACACAAAAGTTACACGATTTTATGAATTTTTCGAAAATGATAGTAGAAAAACAAATGAAATCCAAACAAAATGGCCGCAGATGTTAATTTTGTTGATTTAAACACCCTGTATATTTCTACATATTTGGATAGAACGTTCCCTGTCTAGTATAGTCATATAAGGTTTGTTGGGTCCATCTCTTGGTTTAGTATTATATCGTTTTATAAACGATATAATACTAAAAAACGAAATGAAGGTCTTTTATTAAGAAAATAAGACATTTTGTAATTGTTAGACCTCTATCAGGCATTTCTGCTTTTTTTCCAATTACGTACGGATTTATAGATTTAGTTGTAATATTTTGACATACTGGACATTGATATAGTCCAAAATGCGTATAGGTATTCTAACTAAATATCACTAATTAGGGCGTGAGAGTCCTAATTACTCATGGACAATGTTATATGGTAGGCCGTGATAGTGACAGGTAGTAATATCATGATAACACTGTTATTGATTGACTGTTTGTATTATTATTTAATTAAAATTCTTAATAAAAAACTTTCTTTTCGTTTTTTAATATTATCTTATTTTTAGAGACGGACCCAACAAACCCTATATGACTATGCTCGACAGGAAACGTTCTATCTAAATATGTAATAATATACAGGGCGTTCCATTTAAATTAACAAAGTTCCGTGGCCGTTTTGTTTGGAGTTCATTTGTTTTTCTACTATCTATTTCAAAAACTTCGTAAAAAATAGTGCAACTTTTATATTTCACATTTTTTTATACCTCTTAAAACAAAGAAGTTACCGGGGAGGGGGGGGTCAAAATATAGTGAATCACCCTGTACGTTGCAAAAATGTGTGTTGTGAGAAATACTAATTCCATTGATATGGATCTATTATATTATTTTATAATCATGAGCCATTTAACAACGATTTGAGCATAAATAATCCACAAAAATAACCACGCGTCTAATTCAGAGCAAGTCATACGATTTTACAGCACGAGCAAAACTAATAATGTATTGGCAAATAAAAATGTAATTTGTTTTAGTTTTTTGAACCCAGAAAAGGATAGTACCTAACTTAAAATTGATTTAAACTTTGGAGAGCTGTTTTTCTTATCTCAGTTTTACATAATATTACAGAAATACATACATCAATTTATAAATCACCCTGAATAAATAAGAAATTATATACCCACCAGCCACCTCGAATATTTCCGCAACAACGGTCTTCTGCCTCTCCATATATTCTTCGTTTATAGTCTGATAATCTTTATTTAGTTCTGCTAATTTGTCGTTAGTAAATCGCACACCACCCTTAATGGCACCGATAATCTTATAGTTTTTACTCTTTCTAAGAGCGTGCTCTTCTTTCAGAGTTACCCTAAAGAAATAACCATGTTGGTCGTTGCACTCCAATTTAATTGTTTTTCCTTCTTCAAAGCCCAGATCCTCAGCAGCATATCGAAGTATTCTTTGCATTTTCTCTCCAATTTTCTCTTTCTTAACGTGCAATTCTAAAAGTACCGGTCTGTATTTAACGTCACTTTTTTTAGTTATTTACTTACCATTCAAATCATCATCGAAAGAACATTTAACCAAGAATTCCCCTCTATCTACCAATTCTAAATCTAGAGTCTGCTCTATCATATTCTGAAAATTTTGGAGATCCATTATAATGTCACTAATAGGATCAATGAGCATAGCTTTTATACATTTATTTTCAGTATCCTTCAAAATTTGGAGCATGATTGGAATACTACTTATGGTCTGGTACACGCGATAACAGTCCTGCAGTTTTCCCTTTTTGCAAGAAATTTTTCTAGAAAGAGACATTAAATCGGTTAAACGAGGAAGACAATCCTTGATTAAAGACATTCTTATTCCAGCGTCTTTAACCAGAGCCTCGACTGCATCAAGTCTGTCGTTAATTAAATTATAATCCTTCAAAGGTTGTTTTATCCATTGCTCTAAAAGTCTTCGACCTTGCACTGTCACGCAGCTATCTAAAATCCCTTTCAAACTGTTAGTTTTTGCCGCGTTAGGGTTGACAACTGAGCTCTCTATAGTTTGCGAACCAGGTTTAGGTAAAACATTTAATGCGTATAATGCCGCGTTGTCCAATCTTACAAATCTGTGGGGGTCAAGAGAGTTCAATTTAAACTGATTAAAATTTTTTTCGTCTCCAGTTAAATTTAAAAATTTGATTACGGCTTGAAGACATCCCATGGCTTCTTTCATATTGGTTTCGGTAACAGTACTAGCGTTCCTCTGTTGGTCTTCACGAAAATAAAGCAATCTGTTCAGATCTTGTATTATGTCTTCACCTGAGAAATCAGATCTCTTAACTCTTGCAATCAGAATACCGTTACGCTCTAAGACATTTTTTAACGACGTTAGTTCGGGGGAATCGCCGGCGGGTAACACGCATTCTTTCGGCCCGATTTGAGCGATTAGAGCTTCCAATTCGGAAAAGCATTCGTTGTCGCTTATTTCGCAAACCTCAAACTTTGCTTCGGTGATATTTATACAACTTATAGCCAAAATCTAAAAAGATATACTAGTTTGAATTATTGTAAAAAGCATTTTTTAAAATTTTTATACAAAAAAATGAATTTTTCGCTCCAACAGGTGCATACACATTTTATACAGGGTGTTTTACATGCTCTATGACAAACTTTGACAGATGCAGACGGGTTAATTTCAAACATTTAATTCAAAGTAGCCTGATAAATAAAAATGATGGTTGCTATAACAACAATAAATTATTATTTGTATGTATGAAAGTTTAAACATTAGTTAACCTTTATTAACCAAATTAACAAATCTTAAGACTATAAAAATTGTTCAAAATGTCCACCCTCGGCTCGAATGCAAGCCTCACATAGGTGAACTAAACATTTCATCACATGACGGATGAAATTTGGATGATTTCTTTCTTATCTGGTTAGCTACATCCTGAATTCTTTCAAGTAACTCCTAACGGGTAGTGATTTTACCATGGTAGACAAGCTGCTTCATATGTTTCCATAAATAAGAGTCCAAAGGATTTAGATCTGGAAAACGCGGTGACCATGCTATTGGACTATGTTGACCTAACCATTTATTCGGGAAATGGTCACTTAACCAAGCAGTTACTTGTCTCCATCTATGTGGTGGTGCACCATCGTGCTGACACTACATATTTTGAACAATATTAAGCCCTACATCATCAATGAAATCAAAAAGTTCGTTTTCCGAGAAAACTCTATAAAAATCTGCATTTAAACGATCGTTCGTACATACATACATATACAGACAGTAAATTATTGTTGAAAATGCTACCCCAAACGTCGACACTGAAACGTTGTTGAAATCGTCCTGATCTAATTGCATGCGGATTATGGTTATTATTTATGCCTTCCCTAACAAAACACGTTTCATCAGACCACATGACAAGCGAAATAATTTTATCATTTTGTGCATGTTGTTGAAGTAACCCGCGACAAAATTCTAATCGCTGAGACACACACATGTTTAGCATGTAACGCTTGTACATTTTGGCGATGAAATGGATGTAACATTTCTCTGTTCAATACACGCCATACATTCGGTGATAAATGAAGATTACTTGTTCTACGCCGAACACCAGTTGAAGAGTTGTCAATTACAGCATCTATTACATGTTCTGCATTTTGTACATTCACATCATTATTACGAATGGCCTTTTTTGGAGCGGGGTTACTTTCTCGAAGTCTACGAAATGGTGCACTAAAGACTATGTAGGCAGGTTGATGACTATTTGGGTATCTTCGTCGGTATTCTCAGGCTGCTTGTCTGTAATATCTGCATACTCTTCAGTTGCAAATAAATGCATTTTTTATTTAGCACTTTAACGCTAAGTGTCCAATGAATAAACAAAATGACACAAATAATAATGACTGTTATAGCAACTATTATTTTTATTTTTCAGGCTACTTTGAAATATGAAATCATATTTTTAAAATGCTCGTAACCTATTTTCATTAAGAAAAAATGTTTGAAACTAACCAGCTACCATCTGTCAAAGTTTGTCATAGAGCTTGTAGAACACCCTGTATAAATATAAGACAAACAATTTAAAGAATTTTTATCCTCATATTTTCGTGTAGGTATTTCTAACGACTAATAACAGTATCTGTAAACTACACCTTATTCTCAACTCTCAAAATTAAATATATTCATGATGGTACTAAACAGAGACGTTACGGATTTATACTGTTGGTTATATTCATAAATCTAGATTGGGCCCTCGTAAGTCAAATAGTACTTTAAAATTCACCGTTTCTTTATGTCACAGTCGATAAATTGGTTATTAATTTCCTTCGCAATGGATTATCGGACACATTGGAGTTTCTCTATTGGCCAATTTTTAGATAACTATATGTATAATTTGACTGAAAACGGTAAGATCTAGAATTATTATAGATTCTTTAATTCAATGAAAAATTGACAATATTCCACATATACAGATGCCCCTGTCAATAAGGAGAGGGTAGGTTCTGTTATCCGTAATTTTATTAACATATCTCGAATGTGGACTATGAGTTCTACCAAATATACAAATAAAAGACAAAATTTTCTATCTTCAAAACTTCAACATTGCAAAAATAATAATAACCAATACATATTTGTAGTGTGCTTTTTTCTTAAATTGAATATTCGTAAATTGCTTGCCGTCGTCATTTTATGTGCCACTTACCTTATTTTGTACTAATCTTAATCCCATGATAGAATTCGAAAACTCTATGTTGGAATTTTCAAATAACAGTTCTTCGAACTGGCTCAAATTCCCTGGAGATCCCTTGTACTCCAAATACCAGTCATTATTCTTTTGGGATGTTTTAACATAGACTTCAACGCGATATTGCCTCACCAGAAGTAATTCCCTTAGAAATAATTCGAACTGAGTTTTGTTGAGACACACATAACTCAATTTAGGCTGCTCGCCCATGATCTTGATAGCAGCAGAGGTAAATCCAGCAGCAATATTGGCATCTTCGCCATGACATGTGTAGTAATCGTTACGGTTGAATAAACGAACGGTGGATGGTGGTTTCTAGAAAAATATTAAAGAAAAACTCTGATCCTTAACCATTAATACTGAATCGCTATTATTTAAGTAATTGAAAAAATAAAAATATTCATAAATGTATATTTGGATTGCTCCAAAATTATTTAATAGTATATAAAAATCAATAAAAGTAAAAATTGATGCTAAACCTGAACAATGGTATAATGAATCGATCAGAAACAAACTAAATTAAAGATCGACATCAAAATTTACGGAAATCAGAAAATCATTATAATGTTAATAAACGTCCTATAAGGTCGTTGAAGGTCCAAATAAACTTACGAATACTGAAGTTCTTTATCTAGAAATAGCGGGAAGTCTAAACTGATGTGATAACAAGCCCAGAAATTATTTAACCATCTATGCTCCCTATTTTTTATTAAATTAAACATTTCTTATGCTATTGCTATTTTCTTTGCAAAAGACAAAATTTAAAAATAGTCCCTTCAAGTTAAATTATAATATAAAAGCTTTTAACAATCGATTTTAAAAAATATGCACCCACAGATAGTCGAACAGTTAGATGACTAATCTAACTGTTTAGTAAGAAAAATTAAAGATATGAAAACCATGTGATAAAATAACCAAAAACTTTCCACAGATCAAAAATATTGTATGATCAAATTGCAAATTATTCGAAAAATGTTTATATCTGCAAATATCCACAAATATGTTGTTACTTTTAATGGTGACCCTAGGTCCAAATGTATCTATAATAATAAAGACGCGACAAAATACTCTGAGAAAATAAAAAAAATAAACATATTCCGACGTTATTTTTTCATATAATTAAAAATTTTATGAATGATATTGAACAGTAATTACCTCACACTGCTTCTTAGAAGTCGACTAAATCGTAAACAAAATATTTGTAAATGTACTCAGATAGTGAATATCTGAATAAAAGCACCAAAACAAGTTTAAATGTATTTAGGTGAAAGTCGAGCAAAATATCGATAATAAAAAAGATAGTTAATTCTGCTTACTATTATCGACATCCACTGCTCTGCTCCAATTTCAACAAAAAATAAAACATAAATGCATCTATCAGAATAATATTGTTTATATTTACAGTGTTCGGCACACTACATGTGGCTTAAGATCACTAGGTCAAGGAATCTAAGTTGCAACTAACATGAGCAAAATTCAAAATATGCCTATTCTGTTTTGTACATATTTAGTATGTAACAAAATTTTTGAATATTGCTTAAAAAATCGTTATTGTTTTTAAAAAAAATGTCTTCGTATACCGTATATCTCATATTTATTTGATTTTATCGCGTATTATCAGTATTAGCTACATTTTTTATCACAATTATTTTAGGCAAATATCAACTTATATACAGGGTTTGCATAAGAACCGACAAAGAGCAGAGGAATGTAGGGGAACCCAAAATATGGTAATTTAAGGCAACTCACCCTGAGTGCACCATCCCTTATCAACCCTTTAAAATGCTTTAATTGAACTCTACATACTGTCGTCGATTAATGCTATTGGTACACTCACACCGTGTACCAAATTTGGTTTTTCTAAGTTCAAGTATAACTTGAGATATTGGTTTTTTCGAAATTTGAAACCCCACGTTCAAGACCTATAGATTCTCAGGGATGCAAGTTGAGTTAAATCACCATATTTTGGGTTCCCTTGCTCCGTGTCGGTTCTTATGCGAAACACCCTGTATAAATATGACAAACAACTGTCTTTGGTCCATTCAGTAATTGTTAAGAATTAAATGTAAGAATATAGGAAAAACATGTCATTTTTAGATGCTTTGCTATTTTCTGGAGAAAATCTATGAAGCTAAATAATTTTCTACGTAGAATCAATGCATTTAATTTATGAAAAAACCGGTTAACACATGTTATATGTACTTCATAAATATTTCCTGGAAGAAATAAGGTTCAAAAGTCCTTACAGATGACGACATGAACTATTTTTTGTTATCAGTTGAGAAGCACAACATTTTTTTATTTAAACCTATGGGTTATAATGTAACACTTTTATTTATGTACTTGACATAATAACACAGTATCTGTACATAATGAATTAACCAGTGCATTTGTATCGTCTGAAGAAAGCGAATGATATCGTCTGAAGACAAGCTAATGATATCGTCAATAATAAGTAACATGCTTTAGCATCAAACAAAACTTTAATATAAAATTAGTTTGAATCGACTGAATCGTTGTTAAGGAGAAATAGGGATGGAACGGTTATTTTGACCAATTCTAGAGACTAAATTCACTTTGTTTAGGGGCTTCCCGCATGAGCATTTCCAGTGGGCCAGAGATAATTTTAATGGTATCATTTTTTGCGAAATATCTTTTTCGTACTGTTCAAATAAAAAAACTTAACCTAACATAATTTATTAATTAATATGTTTTTATTAAGAATCAAGAAAGAAATGCAATCGCAAAAGACTTGAAGCAGAAGCAGCTTTAACAAATTGAAATGAATACAATATCTGATTCATCAATTTATTCATAAAGGGTTTGGTTTTACATTGTTTTAATCTTCGTGAATTTCTTTGAAACAAAAACAGCTACTACAAACTTTGCAAGCAACTCATAGTAAATAAATGAATATATTTTCTTGAATAATTAAAGAGAGTAATTAAAGATATAACGTGGAAAAAAATTGTAATCGCAATTTACCAGTTCAAGAATCACTTTCTATAAAAACGTGCTGAAGTAAATATGTAAACAAATAGCCTAACCTCAATATTTTTGTTGGCAGTTCTGAACTTCATGAAGAAATTCACGAAAATTAGAACGTGTTCTAATTTGTGAAGAACTTCATGAATAAATTCATGAAGTTCTTTGACAGCAGTATTACACTTGTCCAGTTTCTTCGTAAAACTTCTTAGTAATGTAAAACAAGTATAAGAAGAAATTTGATATGGTACCTAATTAGAAATTATTAGTAATAACTATTATACAAGAAATTATGTTTTCAATTTAGGATAAAAAGTATGGTAGTAAATATAACTAATTTTATTGACAAATGGAACTATGAACAACTATTCTATCTATTAACCAGCTGAAGCATTATTTACAACCTATACATACTAGGCAAAGATATAAAACCAAATCCGACATTTTTGAAATGCTCTAAGCAAATCATATTATTAAAAATTTTGATTTCAAGAGTTTTGGAACTTCTAAAACACTTCATCAGCAGTTCCATGAATGTAGACGTTTTCCGTGTTATGTTTCTTCTTATTGTATTCAAGAATTTTGTACAGTTTCGTAATTTTTAAAATTTTACAGCAATTCCGTGAATGTGGACACTTTCCGCAGCGTGATGTTTTTCTTATTGTTTATAAGAAACATGATGGAAGAGTTATAGGGGGGTCAAGTGATAACTCTAAATATAAATGTATGTTGATAATCTGAACCATATAGTCCAGTGTTGCACAAAATCCGCCAACAGTCAGTTGCAAAGTGTAGGATTGTTGACATGTAAGTTTACTTTATCTAATAAGTTTAAAACTTTAATTTTACCTAAAATATAAAATCAAAAAATATAATGTATTGGTACAAAAAAACGGAAAGATGTAAATCCAAATATATATTAACATTAACATAAATCCTCTACTCTAAAAGAACTTGTCGAGCTAGTTAGTTAAAAATAAAATGAACCAAATAGAAATTTGCACGTTTATTATAAAAAAATAGTTTTTTGTCAGTTCAATGTTTTTTCAATATTTATTCTTTTAAATTTTTGTTCGGTTTTACACGATGCAGGGAGTTATCAAACAAAAATGCTGATTAGTCTTAAAGAAATCAAGAGAGTAAAATATGATTTATGTACTAATTTTTCACAACCAATCATTTTTTTATAACTATGCTGTTTCTTTTGGAACACAAATATATATTTATATATTATATTATAAAATTCCTATGATAGGAGTTGGTGGGTCTATATCTAATAATAAGTGTTAAGCCTGTTTTACATTTATCAATTTTTTTTAACAACTTTTAGAATAAAAACCAATGAAAAAATGAATTATTTTTTCATAAAAGAAATTAATTATTTACAAAAAAAATAGTAAATAAAAGATTTTTACCTACTCCATTTTACAGGTATTATCTAAGCTCATTCAAATTCAAGATTTTATTTTAATTTTTAAAATATAGTAAAAAATGCGGAAGCTAATAAAATACCGATATCTTCAAAACCAAAGAAGTTACTGCGAAATTTGACATTTTTTGTAAATGTTAGGTATTTCTTCATGAATATTGACTATTACAACATTGATAAATATAATTTATACTTACCCGGATTTCTCATCTTAAGAAATTCAATAAAATTTCAATTGAACTTGGAACATTTTGTCGAGTAAGCCAAAATGGCTAAAACGGCTATCTCCTATCATTTGTCTGAAACATCACTCATGGTTTTTTTATTTGTCAGGAGATTATTCTTAATTCAACCTTCAGTATTACAAATTTAAGAATAGGCATTTGCACATAATTACTGAACTAAACAAATATGGCAATGTTTACGATTATAATTCTAATCAGTGCTATAAAAAAATTTGAATCATGATTTTAATTGAATTTATTATTTTTTGTGCAAATAGTCAATTGCAATTTTTATCATTTTTAACCATTCCAGTCTGCGATATTTAATAATTATAGTCGGAAAATTTCCACTGATTTTAGTCAATCTCTTTATTATATAGAACATGTTTACTATGAGTAGAAGAAGAAGAATAAAAGAGACCTGGATTTTATTTCCTTCATGTTGGCAATTAAATGTCGGTATAGTTAAAATAATAAGATCAAGTTTACATTAAAACACAACATTCTGTTTCACCGGCTGTGATTGGTGTAATTTTTCACGAGATTCTATTTAACCAATCAGCAATCGCATTATCTCCAGCCTAGGCGTAACGGTTTGTTACTATTCGTTATAAACGTATCATTAATATCTTTAAAAACGTTATTTTTATTTAAGAGGAATGCAGACCTAAAACGTTGAATAGGTACAAAAATTGGCAAACAAAACAATCTCACATAAATCATTGTTATACATAATTTTGTCATAATTTCATTCAATAATTAACATACATTTATTTATCACATACCGTAACATTTATTTATACTTTTATTAGTTTAACGTTTGACCTTTTCTGATATTTGTTCATGTAAAGGCGTATATTATTGTTTATAACCAGATTGCATCATTCGTTAAATTTTTACAAATACCGACCAAAGTTAATTTTCGTGGAATTCACAAATATTAAATAATATTTAAGATGAGACTTACAAAAAATGAGCGACCACAAAAGTTACTCTGAAAACTTTGGTTTTATATTTTACTGTAAGCTTTGGGCATAATAATTTCATCATAATTGTTGTGCGTTTTTTATTAAATTTACATTTTGTACTATATAAAGGGAATTACATACTTAAGTACTCATGTATAAAATTTACTAATTAAATTTTGTTATCTTAACACTATCACTATTTTTTTTTTCTTTAAGCAGTTATAGTATTTTTATTCAGATTTCGATTTGTTAATGAAAGTATGAATATTTGATATATCATACATTCTATTCGTACCAAAGAGTATGTATCTAATAAATTGACCAAGTTCTAAGAACATATGATCCAACAATTGTCGTTTCCTTTAAAGTAATATTTTAAAAAAAATAGGAAATAATAAAACTACTTCTAATTTATTGGACCATTTTTAGTGAGTTAACTAATTACATTTTTGTTAGGTATATTCTACGCCTTTTCGAGATGTATTTCAGAAAGCATCATTTCAGTTTCCTTTAGCTTCATAAAACGCAATTTGGATTTCAGATAATATATTTCACAAAGTAGTAATTGAATTTCAAATTTCGTCAAATTTATGACAGAAAGCGTAAATTATATGAAATATATTTCAGACATTTATTAATTTTCGGTATTGTAATTGCATATATAAGAGGTCTGTTCAGAAAATAACAAAACTTTTTTTTTTAAGTTTATTATTAATTTTATACATTATTTGTCCTTGTCTCTTTCAAAATACTCCCCTCGCCTATTCACACAATTTTTCCAGTGGTGTCTGTGACGAATTTGTTTTGATATCATCAATAGTCTGAAAACGGCGTCCTTTCAGCAGTGATTTTAATTTCGGAAATAAGAGAATATCGCAAAGAACCACGTTTGTCGAGTAAGGACGGTGAGGGAGGACAGTAAGCTGATTTTTGCTACAAAACTCACGAATTGACAAAGCTGAGTCTGTAGGCACATCGTCATGATGCAAGAACCATGAGTTCACACACGGTTCACTGTTTCACCTTAAGGCAAGAATTCAAAATGCACAATTCCATTAAAGTTGAAAAAAAAACAATGAGCATCACTTTGACACTGGATCGAGACTGATGTGTTTTCTTGGGACGTGGAGATTCAATACATTGTGATGATTGAACTTTTGAATCAATGCCGTTAGCTGTAAACTCAGCTTTGAAAATGAATATTTCATCGTCAGTAGATTGTTCGGTCATCAAACGAGGAACAAATTTTGCTGCAATTCGATTCATGTTCAATTTTTCAGATAAATTTCATGGCTTGACCATTGAGTAGTAGGTTGACTATGGGCTTGACCAAATTGAGATACTAACCTCTTCTGCCATTTCTCTGACAGTCAATCGATGATTTGCACCAACCGGATCTGAAAGTGGGAGCCATCAGTTGAAGTCGAAGGCCTTCCTGGTCGAGAATCATTGATTAACGACCACTTTTAAATCATATAAAAGTTCTATATTACAACAAATATTTCGTTATTACTTTTTTTGAGTAATTGGCATATTGACTTTTTTTATTGTAAAATAAAGGTCTAAGTTTTCTAGGTTGATTATATCATACCTATAAATACAAAGTTCATTTACTTAGAGAGAACATCTTATGTCTTCGTATAATTTTTGTATGTGGAAAAATTTGAAATAATTTGAATCTTCTGAAAAACATTTGACGAATTTTAAAATACATTTGATACAAAATACAAATGACATTATGAATTATAAATGATTAGTCTGAAATACAATTTACGTATTCTGAATTAAAACTGACTATTCTGAAATTCAAATTACATTTAAACACATCTGGACAAGGTGTAGAACTTCTACACTGTCTGTCTACGTTTTATTTTAAATATATTAAAAAATATTACTTATACGCGTTTATTATTGCAGTTACTGCTACTATGACTGACTTTTATTATGTTCGTTGCATTTAGTCAATATATTATCCATTTTATAGTATAACATGTAAAAATGTGTCACAAATATAGCGATAATTTATTGAGTCGAAAATTATATATGTAAAACAAAGTTATACATATATTTTATTTCTTTATTTCACCAATGATTTTAAGGAAGAGAAGATTAAATAAATTCATTAGTTTACGTAACTCGCAAAAAAAAACAAATTTTTATATTGAACAATTAAGTGTTTTTCAGAAACAATGAAGCCAGTTGTACTGTTTTTAACAGTACTGGGATGCGTAGTAGCTACCCCAAATGGCTATTACCACCAAGAATATAATTACAAAACATCTGCCTCTTCCTACAAAAATAACGAACTTCAACATAAAACCGATGACCAGGGATATTACATGAGAGATGGTGACCTGGCAGGAAAAGTTAGGCCTCGAGTGGACGCAAACAGCGAGCATTCGGAATATGTTAATCCCAATTTGAGAAATAACGAATACAACACGGAATTAATTGGTGGCGCCAATAGGGATTTGTCATCATACGGGCATATGAGAGCTAATGTTGATTCTTATGGATCTCATGATTTATCATCGGAGGGGCTGGCGCAAGCTGATCGCATAGTGGGAACAAAATCTGGGGCACATTCGGGTTACTCATCAGGTAAGTCTCGGATTCAAACCATCTAATTGATCAGACATATCAATATTGAAGCTTGGTTCAATAATAGTGTTCATCATTTTCTTAGTTGATATTTTGATAAGCATAGTAGGAATCAACGTTCACAGCCCTATTCAGTGTTATTCGCTATTATTAATATTAGAAGAAAAATTAAATTGGTAATTGCTGGATTTAACTGACTTATAGAAATGTGTAAGTAGTGTAAACAATTATTTAAGATATAAATAAAAAATGTTAATGGAAAGGGAAAAATTCGAAATTATTTTCTATAATTGGCAATTTGATACTGTAAAATTTGCGAGACTATCGCTACAGTTAGAAATATGGACGTATTTAAATTTATATTTTGGAATATCAAATACAAGTACTTCTGTAGCATTATTTTACTAATACAATAAAAGTATTTAATTTATCAGAAGGTAACGTGACACTTCCGAAAACTATATGTATTGAGCATATAGTGACCATCAATTCTATTGTTCGTAATAAAAAATGAATACATTCATGTTAATCTCAAACTAATAGTTAAAATTGCTGTCGCAAAATTTTCCATAGGGTTGGTTGCAGAATATACCAAGTTCGGGCCTGTTCTGCTAGTGGACTCTTGTGTAGACGCACGAATCTTTGTCTAACTGTCTCTACAGATTCATCAGGAATACGTATTCTTCCGGTGCTTTTATGTTTACTAAGAGAACCTTTGTTCCTTGAGCGTCAATTCAATACCATCGCAAAATATTGTGTTGACCTGTATAGACATATCAGTAGGAACAGGGGATTAATTTATGGATGAAATCCACCAGCCAAATTATTTGCTATTTCAACTGATCCCAAAAGGAAGTGATGATATCTTCACACTATCGTTTCAACTAATATTTGTGTGATAAACCAGTGATCACCAAAGTGTTTTAATAGTAGGCAAGATACTCAAAATGTAAATCCAATTTGAAGATTTGATTATCCAAAAAAAAAAAAGTTGGAATTTTCTGAAACGGCTGGATATTGCAACTCACGAATTTACAATTTTTACTATATTACTGGACATTATTTACAATAGTTAGTCATATTAAGAGGTTAGGATAGTACCATAAAATAACGACCAAGTATCCACAAAACATACAACAGAGGTATTATTACGGATAGTAAACGAAAACGTAGCATGAATGAATTCGCAAAATGATTTGGCGCGAAAATACAGCTATCCCTACTGATCCTTCTATGCCAACAAACCAATAAACATCGCACATATTCTAACCATATATTTACTACTACTATATTAAGGGTTTCGACCTAAAAATTCTTCAAACGTCACCGTATAGGAGATATATGAGCGCCCTAAGAACTAATTGCTTGGACGGCATATAAATTTCAAACAGTTGAACTGCAATGAGAATTACACAACAGCTGCTTATAATTTACTAATTCATAAAGCTTTCTTTAGCCTTTGTAACCTAGCAAATTTTCTTTGGCAAAGGATATGCAATCTACGCCCCGTTCCAATCACGCGTACTTTCGCGCGTGCTAAGAGTCTGGCGTTCTAAAAGTGGGACATAAAAATTGTAACATTCTAATCGCGCGGTTTTAGGCCGGTGTCCCATGCATCCGAAATCGGACGATACGAAGGTCCGAAAGTCATACGACGTCGGAAAAAGTAAAAATAATTTTAACTTATCCGAAATCGTATGTTTTTTAACATCACTTTTTAAGTTTTTAACATACTATGATTGTTGTTTGATATATTTACAGTCAAATAAATGTTATATTATAATGTCGAATGTAGAAAATATAATACTACGTATATTTTCTATAATATATACCTATGGTTGTCATTTAAAAATGTTTCACCTTCATCTTGTAATAAATTCCATGGTTCTATACTTGATTTCTATGAGATTAATTTCGGATGCATGTGAATTATATTATTATCATTCGTACGAATTAAAATATTTTCGTACATCGGATTTCGGATGCATGGGACACCGGCCTTAGCGATTAGCGTTGCTCGTTGCTCGTGGAGTTTTGAAAGTTTCAACAGTTTTTAGTACGGTTTCGCTTGAAATGGAGAGTAATTAAAAAACGCAAATTAAAAATGGCATTATGTTTATTCATGTATCTAAATATGTCAACTGACAATCGAAAAAGAAGCTGTTGGGTAAAAACTTGAAGGGCAAATCGATATAAATGTGGGCATATATCCCATTTTCCCATGGATTTTCGAAACTATTTGAAAATTCATTTCAGATTTTGTTGGACTTGGTTTCGCCAATTATTTCTAAGCAAGACACAAGAATGTGCTTACAACTTTAAATTAATTTGTTACATTTTTCTATGCCTTGATTCGCGCAGGTTTATCACCGGTAAAAAGTAAAACGCGATTGAAGGGATCACTTCGCGCGAAAAATCTGCAGGATTGAACACGTACTAGAACCGAGCGTTTAATTAGCGTTTACATTGGCACGCTTACCCTCGTGACTGGAACGGAGCATTTCAGTCCTAGAGGAAAGTATGCAAATGTGTAAGGTACCTATTGTCCATTTCGTTATAAGTTTGACCGTGTAACAGTTAGAAAATTAAATTTCTGCCGCCAAATTGTTATGCTGCTCTAAATTACTCTCCAAGATATCCCGATATATCTATATTAATGGTGGCGTTAATGAATTCTAGTCTTCCTACCTCTTCGCTGACATCCGTGCCGTTATTTTTTACGTTAAGCGTGGCCTCGATAATTTGGGATCGAGGGGAACTATCCCTCCTTACCTCTGTAGGCCTGGGCAGCCTCAAGAAGGTGTACCCCATCCATCGTCTCCGACCACAAGCATGGCCGGTGTAGGCGTTTTGCGGGACCACTTGCCCTGGCTGACCCTCGTCGGCAGGAGAGCCTCTTCTCGCGCTCTTCGTCTCTTGATTTTTCTTTCTTCGCTGACATCCATCCGCATATCATGACTCCTTGTGGGAATTTCACTGTATGTTTTAAGCACTCCTTGTGGATGGCTTCCTCTACTGATGGCTTACGCAAATCCCCAACACACATGCGAAATTTGCACTCATGACTGATGTCAAATTACTTGTCCAAATAGCTTTCGATTTGGTCAAAACTAAATGATTCTTCTTCTGAATATCTGTCAGCAACGATATTTTGAAACAAAATATTTATTTGGCTCGATATTAATTCTTATTGCCTCTAAAGGGAATTTTACCTTCAGTAATCAATTATACACAATACATAATATTTTTTTTAATTCTAAATTCTCAATAGTTTTTTGCTAATTTAATAGTCACCGAAAGGTTGATTTCTTTAACTCTTTTTCTGCCTCCTGAAGTATGCTACTGTTTTTCTGTTCAGATGGATGATTATCTCTATTTTTAGGAAATCTTATAGGCTACTTTTATTGCTTACATTCTAAACAGTAATTACATCATATTCATCCTGAAAAGTTACAGATATTACAATGTATGAATAAAATGATTAAAATATATTGAAGAATACCTATTAAATTGACTATAAATTTCCTGTATATTCAAAGAATATACCAAATTTCTTGACTTGATGTGACCGATGACAAACATCATACAGTTTTGGTACTGACGAACATTGTTTGATTTCATTTGACAAGATTTTTAAAAATATTTTTTTCTTTATTTGTTTGAATTAGCTTAATACTAAACAGAGTAAAAAATGCGAGAACTAATAAAATATGTTGATACACCTTGAAAATCACATATTTCTAAGTTCATTTCCTTCGTTATTCCCTATTTTCTAATGCACCGTGCTCCTGACGTAATATTCTGTAATTTCTGTATTCTATATATAACACTGATTTTTAGCCAGCACGCTTTATAGTCCCTTACATCCCTTATTTCAGTAAGAGTCTATAAATATTCTTTGTTGTTCATTGCATAGGGACAGGAAAATTTCTTATATTTAATAGAACATAAATAAAATAATTAATTATAAGTTATTACAGGTTTTCATTAGGTATTATTCACAATTTTTTTCTATTTGTAAATGAAGGTAAGTAATACCAAATGGAAACTGAAAATTAAAGTATTTTAGAGAAAATTGTTTATTTTTATTTAGTGATACAATTGCCCCAATGGCTGTTTCCAGTGACGCAAAAATGAGTCAACCATACCGCCAATCAGATCTTTTTATATCGCTATTAATTTTTTTTTAGGGTCACTTTTAATTAAAGATAATAACAGAAAGTGTTTAGCTTCTTAATTAAATCTATTCCTTTGCAAAGAAAAAATGGTACCTACCCCATCTCCCCTATTCATACCTACTGAACTTAGGATACTGAAGTTAAAACATTTTGGTCAGCTTTAATGCGCTAATTATTTTTTATGTTGCTTTCTGAAGAAAGAAATATATCTTCTTAGCGATTTTGTCCTTTTTTAACGTTTATCTTTATTGAAGTAACTTGTCACACTATGATTATTATGCGCACACAGTTAACCCAAAAAAATGCGCACAGGGTATGGAAAAGTACTTGCCATTCTACTTATAAAATGATGAAAGCTACTTAAATTTAAAAAAATATTAGTAAGTTGCATTCCTTAGTTGCCTATCATCTACAACAATGTAGGAGTCATTTAATAATTGTATACATAAACTGAATATTTAAATTACAGGCTCTTATGGAACCAACAGCTATGGAAGTCAATCTTATGCCACGACCTCAAATCTTCGCTCCATAACTTCTCACATTCAGCAAGAATTAGAACGTGAATTGCAACATGCCATTCAAGAGCAAAGAGCGTATTCTCAATCTGGTGTTGGCGTTACCGAACTAGAAAGAGAATTAAGACAGAACTTGACAAACAGACTTAACACTGAACTTTCGAACAGGTATGGACAGCAAAGTGTCCGAGGAGGTTTGTCCTACACGATAGCAGGTGGCAGATTACAATCAACAGCCAATTATGATAACCAAGAATTGCAAGACCTCAGAACACAATTAGAAAGCAATTTATTAAATCAGTTAAGGTCTCAATATTACCAAACTAGTTCTCATTACGAAACTCACCAATCGGGTCACAACAATTATGGTTATTCAACCACAGTAAGACCTGTTTATTATCAACAGCCATACAGATCTGCTACAACAGTTAGACCTACTAATCCAGTTGTTTATGTACCAAGTAGTCAAATAAGATATACTCCTGTTTCAAACCCCGAAAGCATAACGACTATAGCCTCCAGAGTACAAAATCAACTAGATTCACGTTTAAATGAGTTACTTGAAGATTTACAGAGAAGATACTTCTCATCGAGTTCCTCTTATTCCCTATCAACTGCAAACGTAGTTTTAGAAAACTTAAGGAATGAGTTACGGAATAATATTACATACTTGCTAAATGAAAATGTGAAATCGAATTATGGAAATCAAATACCAAGAGATGGGCATATGTACTCTCTTGGGCCAAGTGGGCAAAGATCTACTGAATACAATTATGCTAGTAAGGATTTGGAGAACCTGAGATCACAAATAGAGCGGAATTTAATAGAAAAATTGAACCGTGACTTTGAGACTTACAGAAGCAGGTAAATAATATTACATTATACACACTTTCAAACATTTTTAATGCAACACTACTGCATACAATTATCATTTACAATATTTTTTTGCAGATGGTATCAACAGTCGTCACATAGCCAATCAAGTCAGAGCTCTAGTAATATAAAATATGGTGGTTACAGTACCCCTCGATATGATGTCTATGTTACCCCACAATATAACCCATATGATTCTGATGTAGAGCATTTCTCAACCAGACCTTCAGCTACTCATATAGTGCCATTAATCAGTAGTGGTGGCAGTAGTAGCAGTAACAGACAACATAATCTTCTAGCAGGAAGCAGTCAGTCTGGTTATGAAATTAGTAGCGGTAGTGGAGGTAGCAGTATATCAGAATTACAAAGGCGACTTCAACAAGACTTGTCAAGACAATTACAAGCAGCTATAAGCAGAGGACATTATGGATCCTATTCATCCTCAGGTTCTTACAATGCTCCAACTTACCAATCATCACTTCAGGAACTCTCAAATGAATTAAACAGAAATCTGACGAAACAATTACATGAATATAGCGCAAGCGGGTACTATTCGTCTTATGGTAACTTTGATCAAGCTCAATTGGCTAATCTAAGAAATCAGTTACAAACAGATCTAATGAGACAACTTCAACAAGGACTACAACAGTCTTTCCAGGCATCAAGTTCATTCAGTGCAAGTAGTTCTAGTAACAGCAATGCAAATTACAGACCTACTCGAGGTTTTGATAATTATCAGTTAGGCCAATACCGATCTGGAGGCAATCTTCTTACCATGGACGGGGCAGACTGTGTAGGTGATGATCCCAATGCTTACAATAACCATAGAATGAAAAGGAGTTACCCACCATACAGAAGTCGACCAATCGGATTAAGCTACAGTGGTAACAGTGGCTATACTTCCAATTATGGTTACACTGGCAGCTACGGTCAGCAACAAGAATTAGGACAACAGGTAGATGAATCTGATTTAACTCAACAAGTCGAAGATGTGAGTTTGGAAAAATTACAACAGGGTTCTTTAACTCAACAACAAGTCAATCTAGGACAAGATGATGATTCTCAATTGACACAACAGGTTGAGGATTCTGGCATTGGAAAACTACAGCTGGGCTCTCAAAATCAACAGCAAGTTAATCTTGGTCAGCAAACTGATGATTCAGATTTAACACAACAAGTTGAAGATGATCGCTTTGGAAAACTACAATTAGGATCTCAAAATCAAATTGGTTATGGTCAGCGAGTTGATGATTCGGAATTGACACAGCAAATTGAAACTGAAAACTTAGGGCACCTGCAATTAGGTTCTCAAAATCAGCAGCAAGTTGGTTTAGGTCAGCAAGTTGATGATTCAGAATTGACACAGCAAGTTGAATATCAAAACTTGGAACAGCTACAACTAGGTTCTCAAAATCAGCAACAAACTGGTTATGGTCAACAAGTTGATGACTCAGAGTTGACGCAACAGGTTGAAAATGAAAATTTTGGACAGTTGCAACTGAGTTCTCAAAATCAACATCAACTTGGCTATGGCCAACAACTTCCAAATTCAAACTCTGGAAAGTTGCAACTTGGTTCTCAAATTCAACCAGGTTATACTCGACAAATTGATGATTCGGGTTTGACACAAGAAGTAGAAGACTTTGGAAAATTACAACTAGGTTCTCAAAATCAACAAGTTGATAATTTAGATTTGACACAACAAGTCGAAGACAAAAACTTAGGAAAGTTACAATTAGGTGCTCAGAATCAGCAACAAATTGATCAAATCCAAGATTTAGATTTGACGCAACAAGTAGAAGATTCAAACATTGATAAATTACAAGTAGGACCACAGCTGCAGCAACAAGTTGATCTAGCTCAAGATGAACAATCTGGTTTAACACAACAAGTTGAAAATTTGGGCTTAGGCAAGTTAAAACTTGGTTCCCAAAGACAGCAGCAAATTCAGCTAGACCAACAAGTTGATAATTCTGATTTAACTCAGCAAGTCGAAGATTCTCACGAACTACAACAAAGGGAAGATATTAGTGATTCAGATTTAACTCAAGAGGTGGAAGAAGTAAATTTTGGAGGAGAAAGGGGAGTTGGTAACTCTGACTTAATTGAACCTGTGGGAGGTAGTGGAAATGGTAAATTACAAGTAAATTCTCAGAATCAACAACAGATGCAATATGGAACAACAGAAAATCATAATTTCAACCACGGGGATATAAATGTAGGTCAACAAGAAGATAATGCCGACTTGACCCAACAACAAGAAGATCGTTTCACTGGTAACATTCAATCAGGATCTTCACTACACCCTCAGCAGGTATTTATCACAAATATGATTTGATGACAAAAAGATGTGCATGTTTAAAAGTATTTATGGCCACTGGGCCACTTTGCAAAGTTGATTATCAGCAACATTTAAATCACATTTACATATGATAACGTGAAGAATCAAATATTAAAAATGTTAATATTGCTTCCTTGAATGAGGACCTCTTAGTTTTAGTTAGTAGTTAATTATGTACCTAAAAAATGATATTGCATATGGACAAGTCTACTTTTCAATCAAACTGAGCCCATAAAAAATGCAGGTTTTGGTAAAGGTGCAATTAAATTTAAATAATGCAACATCTGAAAAAATGACACTTCGTCAAGATTTTATTTTATTCTATTTGCCGAATGATACCAGATCTTATTACAAAATAAAGTAAATAATTTTCATTTAACTTCAATACATCCATTTTGAGTTATTTTAGAACTAAGCTGAAGAAGTGATAATACCAAAGACAGAATACCTGTAAAATAATTAATTCAGTTTCTGAAAAAAATATATAAGTTCTAGATCATTTGATTCTATATAAACTTATTTTAATTTTAATAATTTAATTTTGAAACTTATTAAAAATTAAACAGTTTTATTTTTAGTAGTTTCTATTTCGTTAAAACAAAAGTAAATAATTTACTTGTAATTTCAATAATTCCATTTTAAATTATTGTAGAACTAACTAAAAGTTGATAATATAAAATAACAAATGCCTGTAAAGCACTTCCTTCAAAGTTCCTACTGAAAAAAAAATTTGGAAACTGGCAAGAATTTTTCAGAAATCAGTTTTGAAAAACACTACTAACATTTTAAAAATAAAATTTAATAAAAAAATATATTCATTAAGGAGACATTTTTTAATGGAGCATTGCGCTATGAAAATAACATCACGCTGTTGTACTATCTAGCACTTTCAACTGTAATTTACGAAAAAATTATTGAGACTGAAAAATCAATAATGTCATTATTTTTCTTTTAGAGAAATTTGATTTGATACTTTAATACCATATTCTTTTTTGTAAATTCAATTAATAAAGGGATGTCATTCAATGTCTATTATTACTTTAATGACATAACAACACTTAAAAAGTAATAAATAACATACACAAATATACATTCAGAAATTTAATAAAAAAACTCACTTATGATTTTATTTCTATGCAGAAGTAACATTAGATATTAGATAATAGGTTTTTGATAATTTTCTATTTTTATCGTTATATCTACACATCTATTAACTTTATTTAATTCATTTTGTAGATTGAGCAAATTAATCTTGGTCATCATCAAGTCAATGAAAACAGACTAAATGGTTATAACCAGAATCAGAGGCAAGCGGCTTTAGAATTGCAGAAAGAATTGTCCAGACAACTGAAAGATGCAGTAAGAAATTATTATACTACTTCCTATTCCCGTTTGAGTAATTATCAGTCTACATACCAAGACTTGGTTAGAGAATTGGAAAGAAATCTCACAAAACAACTTCAAGCTGTAGGACCAAGTAGTGGCAGCACCAGATACACTTACTCCTTTGTTTTTAGTGGACCACAGAAAGATTTATTAAAGCAACAATTAGAAAATGAATTAAAATTACAACTTCAACGTGAAATATCAATTGCTTCTGGTTATCCAAATTTAAATCAACAACAAACTTATCAAGAACTATCTAATAATGAATTAAATCAAAATATCGATAGCCAGAGCCAAACACAACAAAATATTAATTCTGATTTAACACAGCAGCAACAAAACGGTTTTGATAATGTGGAGGCGCTTGGAGGTCAAACACGAAGCAGAGACCAACAATTTGGTGATTTAACTCAAGAAATCGGATATGATCAAGTTAATCAACAACAAAGTGGATTTAGGCAAGGACAGCCTTTCAGTAATGATCGTGGACGACTACAGTTAGGAACGCAACAAATTGAACAATCGCTAAATAATCAAAATGACCTTACTCAACAGGTTGATACCAATCATCTTGGAAATTTACAAGCAACGGGTCAAGAACAAAGTGGAATCCAGTCACCTGGACAATATCATAATCCACTGTTATCGACACAGTTTAGTTCATCAGGCAGATTACAATTTGGAAGAAGACCTATATATCAAAAACCAATAGATAATACTAATTTCATCAATACCGAAATTACCCAACAGCAACAATTGTACCCAAATCAGAATCTCGTCAATCAACAGAATAATAATAATAATTACAAGCCAAACAATTTGCCAACCTTAAATCAAGTCATTACACAACAAGATAATGAGGAGGCTAATACAGATTATCCACTGGCTCCTGCAAGTAACTTAAATCAACAAGAAGATACTGAATTAATAGATAACCAACAACAAAAACAAGAGAACATCGATTTATCTTTGCAAAATCAGAATTCTGCAAACCATATTTCTGAACATATTCTAACAGGATCTGAACAGGACTCAGTTGGTCAATCTACATTAGGACAAGGATTTGCTTTAAATAAACCACCTTCTTATGCTCAGATATTAAGACAAGGAAATCGTGGATATGCTGGTTCAGGAACTTTACAAACTGACCAACAAACTAACTCCTTCAATCAAAATCAAGATTCTTTCCAAGTATACTTAAACAATCAACAAGTTGAATTAGCATATCAATTAGAGAATGAATTAGGTAAACAACTGCAAGATACTATTTCACAAAATAATTACGCAATAAGCCAGTCTACTCTCACAAGTGAAATACCTGAGCAAATTTTAAGAGAATTAAATAGAAACATTACAAAACAAATTGAACAAATATTTAATGGAGATGGTTATACCAGTTACTCAAGTTACAGACACAGTGTTCTTACACCAGAACAGAAAGATAAACTACAAAAAAAACTATTGGCCGATCTTTCAATACAACTTCAACAAAATTTACAAACCATTCATGGCCAACAAATTAATAGACAACATTCTTTCCACACTGGAGTAATACATTCTCCATCTTCAGGTGCCACTTTTGAATCTGGGTCTGGGGGGCTTTACAATAGCTATGGATCAAATGTGAATAAGTATGATACACAACATACAACAAGTCAACTAAACTATGGACAACAAGAAGTGGTACCAGATACTGAAATTGTTTCTGAATTACATCCATTGCAACCACAACAAACAGCAGTTGTGGAAAATGTAGAACCACAAGAAGTATCTAATTACAATATTGGCATTAAGGGTTCAAGAAGGTTTAGGGTTAACACTGTTGGATCGAACCCAATAGCTGACACAGAAGTAGACCAACCCCAACCAGAAATAATTGCTCCATCAAATGCAAACACAGGTTCAGTTCAAGAAGTAGCTAGCTTAAATGAAACACCACAGGAAAATTTACCTTGGTGGAAAAGAGCTGGTAATACAATAAGGCAAGGAGCAATCAATTTAAAAGAAAAGATTATTGGTTAATTATCCGAAAGACTTATTATTTTAAGAAAAGTGTAGTATAACTTATTTTTAATAAAATATTATATATAATTCAAATGTATTTTCTGTTAAAAATGCCTATACAAAAGCTATTATAACAAATATAATAAAACCAAAATTTCCAATTTTGTTGAAAAATTTAATTGAGGAACATTTTGAAATATATTTCTAAACAAGCATTATTAAACATTTAAGTAAGTACTTTTTTAAGAACATCTTTACTTGTACCAAAAAAATTTTTTCTCAATCTAGTGGACAGAAGCCATAGAATCTTTACTTTTAAGTTATTTCAAGAATTTATTTTTCGAAATTTGAACCCCACTAAAACAAACATCTTTTAACACTTTTCTATATAATTTGGTACATAAGCATTTTGATTTATGATTAACATGTTTCATAAAAAAATAGCTAATATCTCCAAAATTCTCCCAAATATTGTATAAAAGTTAAAAGTACGCTGCTCCAAGAAACTATAGCACCGCTAAAATCATTTTTATAAATTTTTGTCATTTTGTAATAACAAATTTTATATTATAACTCTCGTAATACTAGCTTCACAAAAAAATATTTTTTGTCAATATAACCCCATTCAATTAAAAACATCTTTGTGCTTACGATGGAATATCAAGACATATGATATAGTGGTGTAAACACAAACACTTTATTTAAAGGTATATTTTTTCTCAATTTTTCTATTATAATAGTATGTACTAAGAACTGCAATTAATATCTTTATTGCGATCTTTTGATACACGTTTAAACACTCGTTTTTAAATAAATTAAAGTTATAACTTACCTCAGGTAAATTATGAAAGAACCTTATAAAACTGTGTTGCTGGTTAAGGTCTGAAAAAATATAATTGTTTATTATAAAGTTAAACCTATGTCAAATATAAGAAATAAGTAAAAAACAATAATTTTAACGTATACATACCTAAATTTAGAGCATGATAATAGTCTAATTTAGCCATTGGTGGAATAGAATATAAATCTTAATTAAACTATTTTTACAAAATTGAATAGAAAGACGTCTAGTTTTATACACCACTTTTTAAAATTAGGATTAGGTTAGCAGTTAGGTTAGGAATGTTAAGGCGCGAAAATTGTAAGCGTAAGCGTACTCAATTCTCCTTAGCAGCTTTCGATTTGATAGAATATTTTGCTTATATGGCCATTTCTATTAATAGCGATTTCCATTGGGGAAAACTGGGGCAGCACTCGGGCAGCACTGACACTCCACTGGTTGTATGAGAAATATGCTCTGGTGCAATCTCAATGGAATGACAATTTTTGCGTGGGTTTCTAACATAATAGGTTATGTTTATGTTTTGATTTTTATTCAGTCAAAGTAACAGTTGACCAGTTGAAGNCGGAATTTAATATTTATATCTTATATTTGACCAATCAAATTAATGTACCATTTCCTTACCGCCTCTCCAACTAACTTATAAATAAAGTGTTTTAGTTTTGTCGTCGAGTCTGTAAAATGATAATCAGAAAGAAACAATTATTAATGTCTTGCTTGGCTCTTCAACTAAATGTGGCTACTTTATATATGAAGTGGAAACATCAAAAACGGAAAAGGTGGCATTATCGCAGGTGGTGGATTCGCCCAATTAATCAGAGAAGAAAAGAACTTGGACATTTTTCCACGTTATTTCAGGAACTAAAAGCCGATCCCGAATTATTTTTTAAATACACTAGAATGGACGAAAACACATTCTATGAACTATTGAAAATAATTTCCCCTCAATTAATTAAACACAGTATAAGACCTTTCATATCTCCGGAAGAACGTTTATTAATAACTTTGCGGTATGTATAATTTAATTGTTTGCTGTATGTATAATTTAATTGTTATTTTTATATTACATTTACTTTTTAGATATCTAGCTACTGGTGATCAAGTGTTTTCGATAGCATTGGCATTTAGGCTTGGTGTGTCTACTACACGACATATTATTAAAGAAGTATGTATGGTCATAACGAATATTCTGACTTCTGAATACTTAAAAGTTCCAAGGACTCAAGAATGGAAAAATATAAGTGATGGCTTTTACAATAATTGGAATCTGCCCAACTGTATTGGGGCACTGGACGGGAAGAATGTAGTTATTCAGTCGCCTAGAAATTCCGGCTCACTATATTATAACTATAAAAAATCATTCAGCATAGTCTTGATGGCTGCTTGTGATCATAATTATAAATTTACAATAATAGATGTTGGAGCATTTGGAAGTGAAAGTGATGGTGGGGTTTTAATAAAATCTCCTTTTGGAAAAGCAATTTATTCAAATCCTCAAGCTATCAACTTACCGACAGAACCCGAGTTATTACCACATTCACAAATATCTTTACCATATTACTTTGTTGGAGATGAGGCTTTTCAAATGTCCCCGAGGGTTATGAAACCGTACCCTGGCAGGTATCTTAATGATATGAAACGAATTTTTAATTATCGTCTATCGAGAGGAAGACGTGTAATTGAAAATAGTTTTGGTTTATTAGTTTCAAGGTGGAGAATCTTCCGAAGGCCTATATGTTCAATGCCAGAAACTGTTAATAAAATTATAACTGCTTGTGTTTGTCTTCATAATTTTCTAAAATCAAAAAATGATTTGTTACATATTGGTGATAGATTATATTGTCCTAACAATTTTGTTGATTATGAAGATGTCGAGGGAAATATTGTACCAGGTGAGTGGCGAGATGAAGAATATAATTTAAGAGCTGTGGGTGCATCAGACGCACATAGGGCGACTACTGATTCTTATAGAATGAGAGAAAATCTAGCAGAATATTTTGTTACACCTGATGGGGAAGTGCCGTGGCAGTATACATATCTTCGCAGAGGAGAACATGGCACACGTGACTAAATTTTTATATGTATTATATCTACATATTTCTTTACTGAATAAAAGATTTAAATAGTGAACAAAACTTGTTTATTTTAATTTGCTAAAAAAAAAACAACCATTTATATACCGATTTCACTAGATAATAAAAAATATTTTATTCAGAGTAGATTACATCCAAGATCTGCTTTTTCAGATTTTTCTTTTTTGGTTCTGGGACCTTTTTAAGTTCTTTGGCAATTAATTTTCCAAACGTGTCTTCTTCACTTTCCTCTGAATCACCAACTATGAGTTTCTCTGTAAGACTTTGCATACTTGAATTAATATTGAGGAAAGCATTTTCAATGGGATCCAATTTTGATTTTTTTAATCGCTTAGCAATCTCATATTTTGAAACAGTGCTTGAGTAATTTTCAACTTCGTTATACTTTTCAGATGTGGGGTTCTAAAATTAGAATTAGCTCTATTAATTTATAATATACTTAGTACCTATTTATTAATGACAAGTATAAATGTTTCATTTAGTTTTCTCAGGTATTACTTAGATCTTCTGTGTTAATTTAATCTGATCAAAAAAAAAAATAAATCAAAGAAATACTAAGATTAAAATTACTTAAGTACTCACAATAATGTAAAATTTTCATTATTTTAATAAAAAATACATTTATAGCCCAGAAGAAATAAAATTTTCAATAGCTAGTCTAATGAGAAAACTAACTTCTTTTAAATTAACCTAAAGGCCTAATCCCCGAGAAAACTAAATTAAACATTTTAGTTTTATTACATATACTTTAAGGATTAAAGAGTTATTACCATATTTTCCTTAGCCAAGTGAATGGAGTGCCTGGACATATTTGAGAATGTTTTACGTTTATTGATATGTTTCTCTAAAAAAAGCATTGAATCAAAAAGGGGCCATTTTTTTCTAACACTTCCAGACTGTCCACTACGAGTCTCTTTCTCATTAAGTAACCGTTCTTTGGAATAATACTGTCTTAGTCTAGTCCATCTCGTTTGGCATTCTAATACTGAAAAATTTTATATGAAAATATAGCATAATTTGAAATTACCATGCATCACCTGTTAAATTCATAGCAAATGCTATTTCTTTCCAACTATTTTCCTTTACTATAGCATCTTTGTAATCACTATTTTCTTTGTTATATAATGCTGGGTAACTTTTTATTAAATCTATAAGAAGCTCATCTCCTTCCTTATTATTTGACTCAAAGTGCAAGTCAACCTCTGGGAGTTCTGGGTCTAATTCAGTAGAGGAGGCCCCACTTGTTGATGCGTAATCATGGAAATACATGTTTAATGATTATAGTAAAAAATTTTCACCACCAAACAAGATAGGAACTGATAGTTTTATTTTGTTCAACACAACAACAAGGATTTTTACGTTATGTATGTAATATGTATCAAATCCTTGCATGACATTTTAACCACAGATTTATATATATATTAACGTAACCTCTAATAAACTACACGATTGACATTTGACAAGATGTCGGATTCGGATGTCTGACAAACTGTGTCGAAGAATGCTACTCATTGGTCAAATTGTTATAATCTATCATCAAATTATTATTATTGTGTCCAACATTTATATTTAATATGTTATATGTTATATTTTATATTTAATATTTTCCATTGTGTCCCTGCCTTAAGCGTACTCAATTCTCCTTAGCAGCTTTCGATTTGATAGAATATTTTGCTTATATGGCCATTTCTATTAATAGCGATTTCCATTGGGGAAAACTGGGGCAGCACTCGGGCAGCACTGACACTCCACTGGTTGTATGAGAAATATGCTCTGGTGCAATCTCAATGGAATGACAATTTTTGCGTGGGTTTCTAACATAATAGGTTATGTTTATGTTTTGATTTTTATTCAGTCAAAGTAACAGTTGACCAGTTGAAGTTTTTCAAAGAAGGTAGTTACAATGAACGAAGAATAAAATTTGATATTTAAAATAAACGACGAGGAAGTTACATTGTGTATTCCTGTAGATGAAACGGGGTCACTTATTTTTCTGACATATTACGAGACTTACAGTACACAAACGCTACACAGACAATAAGACAAAACGCGGAGAAACGGTTTGACGTAGCCGCTAGACATGACAATCCCCTCCTCAGGCAAACCGTTGACTACGTACCCGACGTGACCGACAAACACAAAAGACCTAGACACCAACTTTTTGACCCTGGGTGACCACCCCAACGACCCCCCCCTTGCCCGCTAACCTTTTCTGTTTCAGAGACAGCCAGGATCAAGAAACGAAGACAACGACACACACACACACA